ATAGTTTTGACTACACTGTACATTCGAATTGACTTTCAAAACTTAATCTTTACATCCTCAAAGAGTCAAATTGTAATCTGAAGTGAACTTGTATGTGGCTAACACAAAGTTTGTGCCACATGAATAAAATTTGTATACAGTTAACACAAACTTTTTATGCACAGCTTTGCAGTACATATGTACGCAAATAGCTGAACCTTTCAATCTTTCAATGGCTCTTATTGCCCTAAATGTTTATAGAATATTGAGATTGCCTTTTCAACTGTTTGTGAGTTTAAAGCCTCATAAGAGCCTGTAGCTCCTATTTTATCAGAGTGACTTTATTTTGAATAGCATAAACTTAACAGATACTTCATATGTCTCATTCCTTCATTTGTCTGGATACTTGGTTAAGTAAGTTGGTGATGCACCGTAAATTTCACTGAGCTGGCTTTTTCTGTCCTTTGTTTTTGTTATACTTGACCCCAATAATCAAGTAAAATAAATTGAAAGCTTTGTTTGGCCTCTCCTGATGACCTTTCTGGAGATTGTAGCAGGTTCTTTTTGGCTGTCATTGTTGGTAAGCAACTTTAGTGGAGGAAACCTTTACCCTTTACAAATGAGGCTTAGGCGTGTCTGTGGAGAAATTTAGTTGGTTTATTGATTACATGGATATGGGTTTCCTACTGGCACAAAGGAAGGAAGAGATGTTTGCGTTTCCTTTTTAACCGAACTTTCTATAAATTATAGTTTGTCATTGTAGATAATTTTATTTTTAACTTTCTTGAATAATTTATTCTTTAACGTTGGGTGTTATTAGTAGTTACTAACTTAAAGTCTTTGACTTCGTCTCCCGTGAGGTATTCGTGTCTCTATATTTCTGATTATTATTCTAAATGATGCTTGATCAACTGAATGTTGGAATTGCAGGTTGCCATATTTGCTGTTTTGGCAATGGTGGTGAGGCGAAAACCTGATGCATTGATTAGTTTGCTGCCCGTGGTGAAGGAAAATCCCAAATATGTGGGTCAAGATAAGCTTCCGGTCATTGTTTGGGTGATTCTTCAGGTAATTTCTGCTTTTTGATTGATTATGTCTCTAATAGCACTGTGGGTTTTCATGTTTCATGCTTTGACTTTTGTTCTTAGGCCTCCCACGGAGACTTGGTTGTGGGCTTGTACATGTGGGTTCATCTTATCCTGCCCTTGCTATGTGGCAAATCTTGCAATCCGCAGTCCAGAGACTTGATTTTACAGCTAGTGGAAAGGTTGTAAAACCTGCAGCTTTAGTTTTCTTTAAGAAATGTTCTCGTTCTCATCTAATTTCTATTCACCTCCTGTTTCAGAATGTTGTCATCGCCAAAAGCCCGTCCAATTATATTAAATGGCGCAATCAGGAAAGGCGAACGCTTAATACCACCAGCATCTCTTGATCAATTGATGAAAGTCACTTTCCCTGCACCTTCAACTCGTGTAAAGGTTGGGAATTCACTTTAGCTATTGGATTATTATCTTCTGTTATGTAGTGAAATGGCGTTTTTTTTTTTTTTTTTTTTGGGGGTGTTGAAACATTTTGGATTTGGCTGTTGGTAGGCAACTGAGAGGTTTGAGGCAATTTATCCAACTTTAAAAGAGGTTGCCCTTGCTGGCTCCTCTGGAAGCAAAGCAATGAAGCAGGTAGCCCTGCAGATCTCAAATTATGCAATCAAAGCTGCTGGAGAAGGTAACAGAAAGATTTCCATTGCCCCTTCCCTCAATTCTTCTTTTGTAGAAGTATAATATTATCTGTATAGTTTTCCTTTTGGGTCGAAAAATTTCTGCAATGATTAATATATTATGATATGTATGCAGGAATCCCTGATTTATCCAATGAAGCTAGTAACATTTTCATTTGGTGTTTGAGTCAAAATAACGAATGTTACAAGCACTGGGTAAGCATTTTGTTTCTTTGTTTGGTGAAGCATTTTTATGTTCGTGTTTCTTTTTTCTCACATATTGAAATTTTGACAAAATTATCGTGTGGAAACAGGACAAGCTTTATCTGGATAATCTGGACGCGAGTGTCCTTATTCTGCAGAAGTTGTCTGATGACTGGAGAATCCACTCATCTAAGCAACCTAGTCTTGATCCTTTGAGAGAAACTTTAAAGCTTTTCAGGCAGAAGGTGATATTTTCCTTCTCCAATCTTCATCTAACGCCCGATTATTTCCCTAATTTTCTGGCTTTATCGCCTGTCTAGGCGTCCCACATTGAATACTTTCTTTCGGATGCCGCGTGCATTTAGCTAAGTAATAGCTGTGAACAAACTTGTGATGTAAGAGTGGGGAGAACTTTACCAATTTGCTGTGTTTGTGTTGTGCTCACAGAATGAGAAAGCTTTGGCAAAGGAAGATAATGCTGCTCACTATGCATTACTCAGAGATGCTGACAAGTACTGCAAAAGCATGCTGGGACGGTTGTCGAAGGGCCCCGGATGTGTGAAGTCTCTGATGGTCCTTGCAATCCTGGCCCTCATTGCTGCAGTTGTGTCGCAGAATATTGAATCTTGGGACTTGAACAAACTGCTCGAGAAATTCAACCTCCCCCAGAACTTCTAACTCTCGCACAGACTGGCTGTTGTTGGTCGGAGGACAGGTTCAACATCGATAACGGTAGTTACGAGGCATAGATCATTGCAAAGTTGCCCATGAAACAATGGGCCGAGGACAAGTTCTCTCCAATATTATGAGATCTTGGTTGGGTCCAAGGCAAAGTCGAACGAGTGACAGTAGCCAAATTTTGTTGGCTGACCCCTTTTATAGAGAGATTATGGATTTTGGTTGCCTAAGTTCTTTCTAGTTTTTCGGTAGATTCACAATAAGCGGTGACTAATTTATGTTGCTTTGTTCATTACATTGGGGTTTGAGTTTTATTGATTTGGCACAGAGGAAGGAGAATGAAAGTGGTTGGCAAAGGTTATTTCTCATTGGATTTTGGTTTCTACCTATAACAATGATCTTGTGCAGGCGTCACATGAGTCGGCGACAGTATGCGATTGCACGTTTCTTTATATAGCGACGGCCTCAATGATCGAGCCATGCTTGTAGTAGCAAAAGGTCATTCCCCTACAACCTTTACTTTTTCACTTTGTTCAAATTTTCTTGCTCGCGTTTTGTAGTACGTTGCTTTTCTTTGCCCATGTTTCTTTGTTGTTTATGATTTTGGTTGGTTCGTTCCTGGAATGTGACTTTAGTTTTACGGGATAAACGGGAAAGGCTTTCGCGAATTTGAACCTAAATCTCTACATGTAATAGTTCAAGTTCGTCCTTGAAATCTCTTCTGCACAAAAGCGCGAGTTACGAAAACTATACACGAATTTCCTCCAAAAAATCTGATGTGTGCCCGACCGATCTAGACCGAGCAGTGCCACACTGACCAATATGACGAAGTCAATGCACTAACAAGTGGTTGTTCTTTCTAGCAAAAAAAAAAAGAAGGTAGTTGTTCTGATTTTGGTAATAATTCACGTGTATACGACGATATTAGCCTAATCAAACGTGGTTGGGGAGTGGTGGGATCATGGACAAAACTGAACTCCATGGCTTCTCTTGACGAACGAAATCTCGACCATCGATCGATGATCCGAAATAAACATGTCCAGGATCAAAACCACCGGACGAGATTAGCGGAGACGAACGCGAGTTGCGCGACTCATATTTGAACATGTCAATGATCTCAACATGAAATTCACAAGAAAACTCATGAGACTCGATCAATATTGTGAGGTGTCATTCTTTAGTTTCCTTAGCAAGGCTCCCAGAACGTGGCATTTAAACTCCTCCAGGACGCCAACTTCCATGCATGTGCCTAAAAACCCAAACAAAGCATGGTGTGCGATTAGGGTTATATTAGTTATAGCCAACTGCAGGTACAAAATAGAAAGAAAATACTCCTAGTGGGCACGTTCTTACATGTTCTGTCCCGGACGCCGTACTGCATCCGGACACTACTTTCATACCAGAAAGCAAAGCATCATGGCCAGATTTAACTAACTTTTTTTTAATTAAAAGATATAACCTCTTTCATTTTTATATTCAGAAAGCTTAAAAATAAAAAACAGAGGCTATTCGACGACCGAAAACTGTCCAACAATTAGATAACCTATTGCCCTAATATGGGTCGAATTGGCACCCCTTGATGGCTTTTGTCCACGATCTACTTCTTCTTCAAAGGCCGGCTCTTTACTTCAATTCAATTGATATAGAGCTCGTCGATCGAACGAATAGCGACTTGATAGCAATAACGGAGTTTTTTTTTTTGTCAATAGCCGGCTCCAAATATCGAACGGTATAAGGATCTCAAAGGACAAGCTTGATTAGCGTAAAGGGTCCACGGAAATCTTTACTGGATTTCTCACGGAAATCACGTAGGCTAAAGGGTCCACTCTTTGCTACGCACATAACTCGACGACAAGCCGATTTTCATTAGAATCACTTTTTTAGGTCCAAAGGAGTGCACAAAGACATACTGCGCTCTTCCACTCTTTTGCTGGCTCCAAGATGGGTACTTGTACACATGATCTACGTAGGAAGAGTGAGATTCAAACTCCTCCCCTATATAGCATACACAAATACCCATTTGGAAATTAGGGTTAATTCGAGACGAATCTAGCTCAATTGCTCCCTAGTCTCTATTCATGGAAATAGCAACATTCACATCAGATCACCCTCACCGACAAACCACATCATTGAAAAAGGTGTCACGAGGTGTAAATAGTAACAGAACAGAAGGACATGGCCAACTTACATCAGCATAAATAAAGATGTTTTGACCAAGAATACTTCTATAATATATATAAAAGATTGACGAGAGCCAGACACGGCGCTTTTCCCGCCCGCTTTTGGTGGGAATTTCCATGTGGGGGCTCCATTCATTGCAACCCTGATTTCACGCCTCAACCCACGCAATTCCAATTCCCACACCGCACTTCATCATTATGGATCTTCTTTTGGATCCCACAGTCATTCTTTGCGCGCTCATGTTGCTCTATATAAGTCACCCTCCAGTTCCTCCATTGACGTACGAAACTCCTCACTACTTTAACAAGAAGTTGGGCAGTGTGCGGAGGTAGAGATAAGGAGGAGACAATGACAATGGCGAGGCGTCCGTGCGCTCCGTTCTTGGTGCTCTCCCTTCTGCTCTTGGTAGCGCTCTCCAATGTAGCCGAGGTGATGCATGCTTCCATTGACTTGTTCCGTTCTTTGTTTGAACGAACATTGCTTTGAGCAGATGAATTGAGTTCTTGTTTTGTTGACTTGTGGGACAACAGGTTCACGGCAAGCTCAGGGCTTCAGGTAACTGAACAGTGCGCTTTTGAAATCACAAGATTTGGCTAATGTACTTTAGGACTTTCTGTAAAGTGATGTGGATTACAGTGCGAAACCTAACTTACGAACGTTGTAGATTGCCCCAACAAATGCAAGTTCCGGTGCTCGGCGACGTCGCACAAGAAGCCGTGCATGTTCTTTTGCCAAAAGTGCTGCGCGAAATGCCTGTGCGTGCCTCCTGGAACTTATGGCAATAAACAAACCTGCCCTTGCTACAATAACTGGAAGACCAAGGAAGGAGGCCCCAAATGCCCTTGAAACTCGATTCGATCAAGTTTGTTTAATTTTTATCGTGACGGCTAGCTACTACACAGTCAATAATGCTCAATTCTCTGCGCCTAATCTGTGGCTTGATCTGCCATAGTTGCTGGAAATTCAAATTAATTATAGAATATATGTAAGCTTGCCAGTTGAATCTTTGTGTACTACTGTGAGGTGTGAAGATCACCCAGACACTTTATTGAATATGTTGGGGGTGCATTTAGCTGGGATAGGTTGGTGATTTGATGTGTAATTCTGGATCAAGCCAATCTTTTCAGTTAACCCAGGAACGAAGTTCTTTTCTTTTCATGTTTGTATTAACTTCAGTGACAAATAGCAGTGCTAACACATTGTCCATGGACCCTAAAAGATGGATCCAACACAATGTGCTATACAATCTGTGTCTGTTGAAAACAAGAGAGAGAACATTTTCAGCGAACGATGTTAAGAACGAATGCGAGGATAGCTCGTAATCTCATTCGATTTTCAGCACGCGAGAAGATTGTGTTTGATCGGTAAGGAGCTTCAGCTGCGTTAAGACGTGTATAAAAGCCTTTCTGGGCACATGTATTAGAGAAAGAGAGATGCGAGGGTCAGCTAATAAAACCAATGATTCTAGAACAACTCGATACATGTACGTATGAATGAAACTAGAGAAAAGTTGTCTGGCTCAACGTGCGGAGAATAATTCTTACTAATACAACTATGTGACAGATATAAAACATATATAAGTATGTTGGTTGACATTGAAGGCTGAAGTTAAATCATATGATATTCACGCGAGATTGAGTCACATGACAGGCTTGCGAGCTTTACGCGGATTTGTTCTTGATTGTCACTTTAGCAAATTTCTAATTCTTATGCATAGAAAATCTCTAATCAATAATGATAAATTGTCATAAATGATGTCTACTAATTCTAAAATATTGCATAGTTTAGCAAGATGTCTACTAATTCGCTTTATGATAAATTGTCATAAATGATGAGATATCACCCACTAAAAAAAAATGTACATTGAATGGTTATAAAACAGAAATGGAGAATTCCATAACAAAGGAAGTTGAAATATATGGAATTAGAAGATTTTCCCGAAAAAATCACCTCTAACTCTCTAACAATAAGGAGTAGCAAATGGAGGAGAGAAGATTTTCTTTTTCTCTCAAGAAATTTCTACACAAATATTTCGTTTGCCTTTTCCAATCCAAATCAATGGCACAATGCAAAATTTTCGTCCAAATGAAGAAGCTGTTAAAAAATAAATTTACATCCTTATTTTATATTTCCATGCTTTTTTATTGATCCACATCATTTTGACGTGAACGAAATATTGCATATACTTACGTATTATTCCATAAATATTGTAATTCCATGAACCTACATTATCAGATTCAAATCCACTTTAAATAAAACTTTACATGAACCGTAGCGAAGAATTTAATTAATGGGGATATTTATTTTTTCATAATTTTCTGCATATCATGGTATTTCTCTGACGAAAATTCATGTCGGTGTCAATATCTATAATAGTACAAGTGATCTTAGTAGAACAGGAAAGCTGTCCATAAACGAAAACTCAATGAACCTCAAACTCTGAATGGAGCTAGAATTGCCCAACTGAGAGCATCTGCTGGACAGTTATTTCTTTCTACCAAAATCTCCAAGCAGCAATGTACCGATACTTCGCACCAAGAGCCTTTCTCAAGTGCGGAAAATAGAAGCAAAACAAACACGAAAATAGAAGTACATTTGCCTATAATCGCTTGCATGTCATACTGTACGAGTACTAAAGAACCCGAACATTAAGTTGCACATCACAACAAAACCTTTGATGATTTTACAGTTCCTCCACCTGAACCGAGAATCCACACCGGCATCGTTTGGTCCTCAGCGAGCTTTCCTCATCAAAGCTTTCGTCTTCTTTCAAGAATTCATGCTCATGGTCTCCTGTTTGTGCCACCGATGAAGTATCGATATATGTATTTGGTTGCTCGGACCCAGAAGTCTCGGTCACATTCCTGATAATGCATGTACTTGACCCTCCCTTTGTCTTTGCAGAGTCACCGGACTGCATTGACAGCAAACCATCCTTGCCGTAGCGATTGTTCAACCTTTGCCGAGTTACAATGGATGAGAGAAGCTGATACCACCGAGAAATAGCTTCTGCTTCATTCCTTTTCCTTTCTTCAGCCCTTCTTCTCTCCTCTCCTTCTGCATATGCCTACGAAACAAAACCACAAAACTCTTTTAGATAGCTCTTTCCATCATCTAGTAATTTAGGAAACAGAGATGACTCATCAATGCTGACAATGCTGACAATAGTCAATGATAAGCATAAGATGAGATATTATATACAACAACACTCCCGCATAATGTATATCTGTTCGCATATGTCTCTCCGGCCTCCAAAGATGAATATTCCCACTAGGTAGTTTTTAAAGTTAAGCATAACTTACCTTATTTTACCTCTAAATTTGATTTCTTTTGTGGAGCGTCATAAAGCATCACATCTGCAGCCATATACTTACTGCTGCATTACCAACACCCAGTCACATCGCAAGTATAATTTACGTACTTCTCTTTTTCGTCTAAGGCCAATGCCAGATGCAGATGAGCAGAAATTTTCACATTTGCAGACTATTAAGTTGAGAGATTGTAATTATATCATTACAGAACACCCCCCCTCCCCCCTTTAAAAAAGAAAACCAAATACGGAGATCTAAAGACCACACAATGGATACAATGAAAACGAGGATATAATGGGAGAGCTAAATGAAACTTATTTAAACAGCTAATTCTCAAATTGTTACAAATGAAAAGTAATGTTTACCTCCAATATTACATCCTTGAACTCAGAGCACACCACAATTCCCTCAAAAAGGGGCATTGCTCGCCCATTTCTGAATTCAAAGCCAACCATAGCTGGTGCATAATCGATTTCTAACCTCTTCGCCACAGCAAATATCCTCGGCAGCCTCAAGTGCACGGTCCCTGGTGGGAGGCATTTATCAGACCAGACATCCACTTGGCCCCGCTCATTCTACAAGTCAGACACGCAGAGCACAGTCAGCAAAACATCAACTTATTATGTCAATTTCCCTACATTGGTTTATAACCAAACACAGTAGTGGTAATGAAAGAAACAAAAGAAGATATTGAAGGTGACAAATAATTTAACAAATCTAAAACCCAACCGATCATGTAAAGTGCTCATAGAAAAGCCACTCCTTCCTTCATGGTAAGCTTCCAACGCCATTCTGAAAATATGCCCCTGCCGTTCCGCAGCACTATCCTCCCCACCCCCACAAAAAAAAAAAAACCCAAAGCCATTTTCCTTTTCTTTCGTATATTTATATGTGCAACCTCCCACAACAACTAAAAATTTAGACCGGATAAAAAGGGAGCACCAAACCAAACATGATTTAAGTGCACATGCACGTCCTTGTACATGTGCAGGTCAGTGCATGCACACACGTGTACTGCTATGCCTTCCTTTACTCCATTAACAGCACCAACCAGTGCATAAAAGCTTGCAGAGCAAAAGGTAACCTCACCTGCCTCATAATAAGCAATAACAATCAACTATCAACAAAGATGTAGCAGAAAGATGTCTCTCCTTATGAATGTCAAAGTTTAGGTAACATAGAAGGCATGACAAAGAAAAAGGCACTACCATTTGATTTTTATTTTAACTTTGCCTGCAACCCTTCCTTTTAAGGATTGAGTAAAACAAAGTCAGAGAAACATGGGATACATCAATGAAGATCAGGCAATGAGTTTTTCTTTCATAAGTAGATATACTTCTTCCTCTTTCTTTTTCCAACAACATATCGAAACAAATGCTTTTAAGTCAAACTTCGCAGTAGCTCAACATAACAGATTCATACAGAAAAAAAAAACTTAACAGATTCATAGCAGACTACGAGCAGACTCCAATGTTTGGTTGCAGAATCAAAGCAAATGCAGGCTCAAGCTTTCTTCCATCATGCAAATGTGGTGAACTTCGCAATTTGGTGCGTCACAAGTCACAACGATATCATTCATGCAATAGCCAACTTACCTTAGGAACTATCCCATTTACCGCAGGAGGGAGTTGCAAAGGTTCAGTTTGCCATTTGCCATATAGTTCTATATTTCCTTCAGAATCATCTTCTAGAAATTCATCAGACTCCTGATTTTTCCCTCTGTTAACCTTTCTAGATCGCTTCAACACCTACACAAGATATAAATCAGCCAGACAAGCTACAACCTTGTTTCACAGATTGCAGTCAATGACATTTGCAGACCTTTGCAGGCAGCTGATCATCCTTAGTTTGTAAGCCTTCACGCAGCCATTTTTCTTTGGTCTTGAGTGTTTGCACAGAAGCCCGAGGATAAACAGGATAACCAGAACAGAATCCCAAAAGTGGATCCTTTGGATAAATTATTTGATACTTAGTAAGCCATCTTTCAATAGCATATAGCTGATGGTTTCTATAAGCCTGCGAATGAAAATGCATCTTCGATCAGAAAAGAATTTTCATTAAATTGGTAATGATATTTTTCATATTATCCAAGATTTTTTAAATCTGTCCTTCAAGAAAAGAAAGTTTTAGATATTTAACGGAATAAGCTTTTCAATGAAGTCAAGACATGGTCTCATAAAACAATCCCACCCCGCCCTGAGAAAAGATAAAAAAACAGAAAAAAAAAAGAAGCAACAAGGAATAAATGTTAAAATAATATCTGAGATGAGTGGTTTTATATAATAAGTAACTTAATATTGTGCAAATCAAAATATGGAGTCATTATGTACCTGTTGATTGGTTGGAAGAGGCTCACTTAATGCCCTGGTCTCCAACTCGTTATCTTCAAGAGAGCTTCTTGTCATTACAACAGAACTTTCTCGACGACATTCTCGATCAATTCTCTCCCAATCGTGCTCAGACAAACCTGAGACTGCCTTTTCAGGTGAATAGATATATCCTACAGAATAGTAGAGGAAGTGACACCACTCAAGGTCTGATCAAACTCCCACCCATTTCAAGAACAAAGTTGAATTTGGGGGATGGACAATACCTCTACTTGCTCTTAATTCCACTTCCCGATGTGGTTCTGGAGGTAAATCCAAGATTGCACGTGATTCTGCTGCCTCTCCAGGCAAGTATATATCTCCTACAAGATCGCACGTGACATGACCAGACTCAATGCATTTATAGTCCCACCTATTTCTAAAACAAAAGTTGAACTTGGGAATGGATGATACCTTCGGTTGCCCCTAACCCCAATTCCCTTAGTGGTGCCAACACTGCATTCCACCAAACTGAATCCACACGTTGCGATGTTATTCTATGCCATCTCAGACAATACCTGTTTTAGAAACAAATAATATACGCCATAACTGCTCATTCTCAATTAGCTCTGAAGGCATTGAAATAATAAATCAACTCCATCACAAAACAAGCGTTGAAAGATAGCAAATGAGGTGTGGTGCATTTCCATTATGTACATCTTAGTGCATCGCCTAACATGAAAGTGCACATCAGAAGTTTCATGTGATTCGTTTGTACATCAACCATCAATCAACCATCAAATGTGTGAGGATTCTAATTGTACCACAGCATCAACAACAATAGAATTTCAATACATTGTTAAGGCAATGGGGCAACCATCGCACGTATCATCACCGAACAGCTAGTAATTCGCTTTAGGAATATGCTGATTGAACAGTGTATGAGAAATCTGAGACGCTGAGAGTGCAATTACAAGCATGACGGCTGGGGACATCCGTGTGCAGGTAGCAAAAGAAATAAATGTTTCTCTCTATATGTCCCTTTAGGTATCTTCATCTTTATATATAGTACACATGTGCAGACACATTCAAAAAGAGAACAGTCCAAAGATTACATAGCGAGAGAAAAAAACCTGCGAGTTACATCTTTCGCCCCATTACCAGCAAAAGCAATTACATATCTCAAAGATTTCTTGCATGCAAAGGCAACTGCTTCTACTTTATGCTCCCCATCGATAAAATTGTTGACAGCATCAACATGCATCCATTTTCCAGTTGACTTCTCCCTACTGCAATAGACCTCGGCCCAATAGAGAGGACAGCCAACTTTGCTTGCTCCAACTGCTGTTGAAATTACCTCGGACGAAGCCGGCAATTCCTGGGATGAAGCTGGATCTTTTTCACCTCGAAGTCTTTTCAATCTTTTCGGCAGAAAGGATGAGTCACCAATCCCTGGCTCAGCATTATTCTCGCGCCCTTTGAAAGCTGTTGCTAAGAGAGCCATTTCCAACTGCATCTCAAACTCAACTTCCCCTTTACTTTTGGATCCCGCAGAAGTTTTCGCATCACTCATTTCGGCTATCTCCATGCAAGCTAACAAATCAACTTTACATCATTACAGGATATTCACAACAAATGGTTGGTGAATTAAAGTTCTGACTCATTAAATATCAGTTTACTTTGATGTGAAAGATCGTCAGAAATTCCAGAGTCAACTCTTTCCTCCTTGGATAAAACCGATCCAACAGCAGATGTAGAAACTTCATTAGGCTTAGCAACCATAGGTGTTGGAGAATCAAACATTCCCTTATTCGCTTTTTGAACCTTTTCAGGAGCATCAGATTCAGTACGTTCTGGTTTTAAAGAGATGACATCCAATACAGAAACAAACCTGAGAAAACAATTCCAAGTAATTTATAGTTGTCCACAATTGAATATGATTTCAGTTAAGTATAAGTCAACCAAAGGAATGGAACACAATCAAGCAACAAACGAAAGACCCCAGATTTTTAGTAGTTGTATTTTTCAACATAGAAGGGTTATTATGGGCAACAATGTTATTACCTTTCTCAAGAAACAGTGTCATAAATAGAGATTTCCAGGTAACTTTTAACGTTCTTCTTGCAGAGTAAGAGCACACAACTCCACCCTCATAATCCATATGATGGCCACAAATGCACGATCTAACTGTTTTCTAATGTTGTGTCATCTTTACTATTAAAATGGGTCCTGAGGACTCCAATTTCATGTGGAAATGCTATAGAACTCGCGAAATCAATCACTTCAAAGTACGTAGCCTTGAAAACGATTAGCCTTTGGGATAAGCACCAATTTAAGATCTGTCACATCTCAATTTCTTATTTTCCATTGAATTGACTATACGATATGATCTTTTATTACTACAAAAAAAGGGTTTGGACAAGGGTATACCTCCTTCACCCACGACCATAAGATATGATCTAATTTCCGCTTTCAGTTGCTTTTGATATGTCATACAGAAATAGATAATTCATTATTCAACTAGAACATTTAACTTGTATGAAGTTCAATCACCCCCGCCACTCTCATCACCGCTCAAAATTTATTAATTATGGTGTAACATGCTTCTAATGTTTTATGTTCCTAGACCAGATGAAAATGACCACAACCAAGGAGCATATGGGTACCACAAAAGTACAATTCGAAAGGCAATGGTTTAGACCAGAAAAGGCAATGATTTCTTAATTGATTGCAAAAGTTAAAGTCATCATGTCTAAATTATAGGTTGCAAATGGCAGGCACCCTCTTGGTGCTCTTCAATGACTTTATCAAAAGATTAAAAGCGTGCTATAAAAGAGGATAGGAGATATTGCAAACCATACCGGGCTGTAAATTTCAGAGCTCTAAACAATGCAACAGTTAATGCAGCAATCTGCCAAAAACAAAAGTCAGAACAACAAAACATTTCTGAATTTGTGCTATAAGAGACCACTTCAATTAATTTGGAATTCAGTGAGCATGTCATTGAAGGTGTCCATAATTGTAAAGCTGATTACACTAAAGGTTAAGTCATGATTGCCACAGATATTTCCAAAAACAAAAGGAGCCCCTCATCATTACCATTCTGTGACTACCATTATGATATAAGTGAACAGATTCTTCAAACTTGTGCAACAATTAATTGAGTCTCAAGCCATGTGAACGCAGTAAAAAGTTTAGATCACCTAGAAAACATGTCTAACAGAACAACAGCAAATTGGCAATACCATAACCACTTTAGAAAGCACACATGCACTTGGACATGCTGACATATGCACCCAAGCCCACAGAGATGAACTATATGTACAAAATAAATTCATGCAAATCATTTCATATCCATGCTACCACAATTAATATTAGCACATGAATTGGCAGGAAATCAAGAATCTCAAATTCTCCAGTGTTAAGAAATCAATAAACTACCTCTTCCGAAGTCCCTTCTTGAGTTTCAAGAGCATGTGCCAAAGCATAATCAAAAGATTTCTCGGCACTTGTTGATTCCCTAACTCTGAAGAAGCTACGAAACTGAAAAATTCATAGTGATGAACAGACAAAATTAACAACCAATACAAAGTGCAGTAAAGAACCTCCGGTTCATATTAAAAAAAGGAATAATAAATGAAGCATACCCAATACACAAGACGTGATAAAGTCATCTTGGTAACTTTTTTTTTGTCTAATATGTTCTCCATCAAGTTTCTCGGTAGAAGGGAAAGTAAAGAAGCCTGTCACATTAACCAATTTCCGCAGTAAGAAGAACACATGATAATTGGTTCCACTTTCACAACCAAAAGTAGAAGACGACAAATCAGATTGTTGTCAGAAAGGCAACACTATAACAAGTTGCGTTTGATTTTAAGGACACCTGAATATAAATAACCCCCAGACTACTTCTCCGAATTGGAAAACATTATTAAGATAATGTAGAAAGTAAATTATGCGGCCTTAACAAGATTCCAAAAACACCAAATGGATAGATATGCCCGACGCTTCTGCTTCTCCACGTATCTAGCACATCGTACATAAATACTTCCCACATTTTGAAGGTGAAAAATGGACATCCCTTGATAAGTTTAAATCCAAGCGATGTTACCATCAACGTAATGTTCTAAATCAATTGAAACCATAAAAAAGCAACAGAACACAAGTTGAAAAACAGAGTTAATTTCAGGCTCAAGCAGCTTAAATTATCATTTACCAGATCCGCTAACTATTACGTTGTGTTCTTAAATTCAAATGAAAATTTTTTCCCAAAATGCGAGTGAAACAAAAAAAATTCACTCAATTTGAACACATTGTATGGTTAAACTTCAAATTACAAATCAAATACCTAAATAAAATCCCTTAAGCTTTCACAACCTAGGAGTACTGCTACAAAATACAAACACACTATTTGAGCCCTCCATCTTTTTGTCAAAATCATCTGACCTGTTAAAAACTCGCAACCCCTTTGGTTATCCTGCACTTGGGAAAACCCCAAAATGTTTCTTCACTAAAATTACTACCAAATGTAAATGCATTCAATGGGAGGAAACTTTCATACCAAAGAGTCAGTAAATCAGAAAGCCCGCTAATTTTAAAGTTTGAGTTAGCATAAGCTGAAATTGAATTTGTAAAAGTTTTCCACGTCACTTGTATGGGGCTTATAATGGCCTTATGCAGAGTATTTCTACCTAATAGCATTAAACTTTTGGTTGAATTTTAGTAACAAACATGGAGGTCTAGCGTTCAACAAACTCCAAGCCCTCTAGTTGTCTCCCAATATAATCAATTTCCACAGTTAATGTGAAGCCAAATCCAAGCATAAGGGTGAGAGGAAGTGCTAAAGCATTTACATACAAATATAGACCCTATATACCAAGTACAACTTAACTTCCCTACTATTGATAACAGTGAAAACACTGTATCTTAAATAGCATCCAGCCACTAAAAAATTGCATCCAAAACTGGACCGAATCTCTATACTCCATGCATTAAACTCTTAAGTCGGATAACCTTGACCACATGGTTGGGGTGAGTATCCTGGACGCTACTCTCAGGTGCGTCTTTGCATTCTTTTTCCCTCACCATGCTTCAACATTGTGTGTTTCTTCACATTGCTAAGTGGCGAAACTTATGATTCCAAGTGATTTTCAGGTCTACAACCTTAGAATAATCAGATGCTTCTTTATTTCTGTTTTTTTACCCATCTTAAGTTCGCACCACTGTCACATCAAGTTCATCTAGTTATATCTTTTCCCATTTTAGACCTGACCTCTACTCATAAAAAATCCTCACTTGACATAACATTAACTACATGAAAGAACATGGGCAAATGGCTGATTGCATGAATACTCTTTCAAATATGCAGGAAAGTTGGCGCATTTCTTTTGCTGCGGTCAGTCACTGAAAACTGACATTATTTATTTATCTCTTCAATCAATTTCCTCTGCCATGCTTGTTTATTTTGTTGACTAACCCCTCAGAAAATTTCATCAAACACAAACTCAACCCCTGCAGTTCAAACATGTTCAACCATCTCTGAATAATTTGAGTGTAACTGTAATATGACACCAATATCTATACATCAAAGTCCTTTGAATGTGCCAATGGTACTCTACCAAATTCTTACTTTGAATACAATAGTTTAATACATCGCCTGATTCACAAGCAATATGTGTAAGTTTTCATCTTTCTATCTTCTTCTTTGTAAAGAGGTACCACAACAAAAGTTGCACCTATTTGGTTGAGAGATTATTCTGTACACAGCAGAAGCATATGAACATCTAATCTTACACTAGAGAGGAATATATGAATATACCACTGAATATGATCTTCACAAATATCAACAAACTTTTATTATTACATCAAATCGATACTGTAATATATTTCGCATGTATAACTGCCGATGCACATGCAGCGAAATGTTGTAAGATTTTTCTTCCTACCGCTGCAATGGGACGTCTAATAACTATTGCCTATCAAAAAACAAAAAAAATTTAGAAAGAAACTGGCAGAAACAACAAAAGCAGCATCAGTCTCTGATGTCTGCAAAATAACAAGGAGTCAGATAAACCATGACGACAGTCAAGGAAATCCTACGGGTAAAGATTTTTGACAAACTTCTTTGATTGCAATGATCTTTTCATTGTGATACTTGATACATACTTAAACAGCGAAACATCCACAAAGGAAATTCCAGGCAAAATCTGCGCGGAAACACAACCTGAATAAGAGGATCATCACAAGCTCTGTCGATTAACCTCCCGCGTGCTAGCAAACAAAGTAAATGAACTTTATGCTGCAGTTCAGCCAATTCCTGCCACATGTAGATATTCGAATTATGGAAGAGATAACCGCAATTTCAAAAGAAAAAAGAAACCAGGTTGTAGCATATAATTTCCACCACTAGCTAACCGGCTTTGACTACCTTCTCTTCAGCGGAGGCTCGACAAGGAGGCTTTCGTTGAACCAAATCAGGAGAGTGAGAAAATTCAACAGTCACCCCATTAACACAGCTTTCCCTGAATTCCATGACTTGAGCCGAGCCATCTTCCCAGTCAGAACCATCCATATCTTCCCTGGAGAGTGAAGGAGAGCAACCTCTTTCATTAACTTCTACCTCTCGGCCACTGTCTGCATGACCACTTTCACCACCTGGCTCATCATTTCTATTCTCCTCAACCTCTTGCTGTCAAGCACAAGGAGTCAAAAGAAACACAGGTAGTACTTAACCCCCAGAACTGAACACTGAACAACTTTATGAATTTCCTAAAGCTTCCTATTAGCTATTGGGCCAAAAGCATTTAATGTGCTCGAAAAAAGGTATACTTACCTGTCTACTAGATTCATGACATTGATTGAGAGAGTCATCTGTTTGCTTCTTCCTCGACGAGCCATGTCGACTGGCCGTTCCGGGAGGTCTTTCGGCAGCTTGCTGTGATGTCCGAGGCCAAGCATGACCCTCTGAAAATGCGGCATAAATAACAGAGGTATTGCAATTAATCTCCGCCCTAAATCCTCAGGTCAAATACCGGTAGAAGGCTATGCTAGCGGCAACAAGAAAAAAACATGATCAAGCAAAGACATTCCCACAAGGCACTCAGTTTTTCCCCCATTTCTACTTAGGAGACTCGGATTGTCCAACTCAGTGCTTTGTCAATTTTATATCTGTTCTATAATAAGCCCAGTTTCTCAAGATTCTTTTTCCACTTCTTTAATTGCATGACAACCTACCAATTCTCAAAATTGATACCACAAGAAGCTACTCTCACTCCAGCATCTGTGATGAACTCGACAAAACTATGCCAAGCAATGCCAACTGAACTAATCCCACCAAGCTGAACCCAAAAAATCCTCGAACTACTCAGGCAACTGAGAACCTAATGCCTAGCAGTACCGAATGCACGCATCATTTCAACTCCCGTGCAACGAAAAACAGACACCAAATTTCAGATTTTTTTTGGTTCTCAAAACCCAACGATCATTCCACCGACCAAGACGAGCACTTGAATATGAAGAGACAATTGACCCAGAAACCAAAGTGCAACAAGAGAATCGACAACACGAGAAAGAAACGATTTTGACTCGAAAATGAACAACGATCACTTGCCTGGGTTCCTTCGCTTTGGTGACCTCCTTCGAGGTCTCATTTTCTCCACTGATCTTCGTCGACAGAGAGAGAGAGAGAGAGAGAGAGAGAGGAAGAGGGAGCGTGTGTGCGTATGTGTGTTTGTAACGTCGGGAGGGAGGGAGGGAGTTGCTTTTGGCGGGCGAGAAGTGGCAATTTTACCGACAATCCGGGCCGAAGTGACGAGGAGATTATCTCTCTCTCTCTCTCTCGCTCTCGCTCTGTAATAACACGTTTCCTCAGAATGTGAAAACTGTGACTAGTCAATTGAAAATACATAAATCTGTGTTTTTTCCCAAAATGAGGGTGGTTCACTTAGAAATTACTTGATACCAAAGAAACGAAATGGCATGAATCAGAATTGAATTTCAGCCCCATCTGGCTCTGTTTCCTTAAAACAAGCAATATCCTAGTCAGATTTCGTAGTGCATTTAGGGACAATATCTGGCATTTTATTAACACGAGTGCTGAACTGCATCTACTAAACATCCCTTTTGGGAAAATGTGCATTTGCACCCCCATCCATTGAACTCTCAAATTGCTGACTGGATGCTGACAGGGCTTGCCAAGCGAGCCCTCTTGAGACTGAACCGGTATGGTATTGATTTTTTGGGATAAAGACAGCAGAGTTTTCCTTAAAACTTTGCATTGATTGTTCAATTTGGTCCCTACAATTTAATTTCGAGATGTTCATTACCATATAATCTCGTTTTCGCAACTCCTCAAACGGAATGGTTAGGCAATTTGGTAAATAAAATCATACGTGTGGAATGGCTATGACATGATTGTTACCTTAGTGAGAGATTTAACGATGATCTTTAGAGAGAGAAGAAAAAGGAAAGTGAATCTCGTGGTCAAACCATAGAGGTAAAGAAGCATACGGAGTACTGAACCATTTGAAGGGTTCAGTAAAGCAGCATGCACCTCCATTCTAGATTTTTTGACATAGCTGATTGTAACTGATTAACTAGATAAAAGAAATGTAAGTGACGTGATCATTCGTATAGAATGGAGTTATATAGATTAACCTAATCAAAGTACTCGTTAGTCGTTTGAATGGAATCAAATATAGTGTAACTACCCGGGTTTATCTTATCTAAATCATACATCTTAAGTTTCATGATCAAGTGACAAACTTTTGAGCTGAATGTAAGAGTTTAAACCAAGTAGAGAAAATTACAATTTTGTAGATCATGGATGAGAAAATGCTAATATATACCAAATTCAATATATGATGTGAACAGTAAATATTGATGACTAAAAAGAACCATAGGAGCTCACGCTTTTAGTAACTAATCAAAACACATCATATGTGAAGTGATTTTCAATGATGAAACCAGGCAACATTCCTCCAGCACCACTCCTCCATAGAATGCTATACAGTGAGAAAGACGCAACGAAAAAGAAGTAATATAATGACGATGCCGGATAGCCGTAAAAGAATCGGTGAGCATGTAAGGATCTCGAGCTACACCAGGATTCCGCAGAATCCTGTTCCCAGCAAAAGAATGAGTAATCACGCACCATAAAATAAAAAAGATAGATCCAATGAAGAACATGCCCTGGAAAACAAAGTCCAGAGAAGAGGAATGTGCGATGCGTTATGTTGGGTTATTTGTTTCTCTCTTAAGACGTAGCTTCCCTGATTTATCTCTCATCATGAGCTTCTTGACGACTTCATTCCAATTGGTCTTCGAATCACGAGGCCTGGCTTTGTCATCCAGGACAACATCAGCAGACTTTTCTTCCTGTGAAGGCTGTGACTCTTCATCTTGAGGATTTGAATCCGGGTTTTCCTTGTCCAGAGAGGTCACGGCATGGGGAATGTCTAAGCTCACTGCTCTTTCCAGTGCATCTTTGTGTTCCTTCTCTTTTGTCCTCAACCTCTCAAACTTTTGTATGTTTGGAGCAGTTGTTACGGTCTCTGCACCGCTTTCCCTCATTCTCTGTCACAGTCAATTTGAGTTGATCTATTATCTCAACATGCTACATATTTACATACACTCGTTTAAGAATCAAAGAGCAACAAGAATAGATAGATTCAGGGTAAGTTAGGGATCGCTATGAACCAGAGGAATACCAAGTCAGCCTCACTTACTTGCAAAGCCTTTTCTGCTTCTCTTTCTATCCAGATAATTCCATGATCAGATGTGGCATTACAAGATAAGACAATATGCTCGAATCTCCCATCAACCGGAATAGCAGTTCTTACTTCTGGAGGATACCTCCCACATCTGCACATACAGAGAAGTGAAAAAAATGGGTAAGACATTCAAGTGCAAGTTTTGCTTCTCAAAAAAAGAGAAACAGAACCATTTTAACATTCCATCACTCTTCCTTTTCTCCTAAGACTGCTAAAAAGATAAATAAATAAGAACTACTTTCACTTTCCACAATCAAAATGAGAGGAAGTCAATCAATTCCTGCAATAGTACAATTGCTTAGTGAAAAAATAAAAGAAATGCAATCACTAAGACAACAAAAGATATGGAAATATGATGAAAATCGAACAAATTCAATTCATTTGAGATGCAAGGTGAAAAGATGCGTTTTCAAACTCCAGGTATGTAATGGATTACAAATCAAGATTTCAGCTCCTAAAGTGCTCAGAATTTACAGACAAGATGATACTGCCATTTCTTAATTGGTCGTTTAGCCCAGCGGCAGCAATTAAAAGAGAACATTTGCACAAACAAGCTAGGAAACATGTTAAAATTGAAAAAAAAAAAATTAATAATTTGCACCACGTAATACCAACACAATTACAATTCCAACCCCCTGTATTTCCCTAATCACTTTTCACATCCTAAGACTAACATCTTTACTTTTGCTTGTAAGTGCAACAGTTAGCAACACATTTACAAAGTTGAAGACATTGATAGATAAGAGAAATACAGATAAAGCCATACATAGAGCGTGTGGCTGAGAGTGCTAACAATCTCATAGCAATAGGTCCTTGGATATAAGGACATTTCTTAGTTTCCGAAGATCATAAGGTCATTGCGGAGCATTTTCTAGTTTACAATAACAACATCCAAAGTTAATGATAACATTCTCTAACAAATACATAATATTTCTTAATTAGATAATCCAAAGTGTTAGTTGACTGCAAACTGTAGAATGTTAAGTATGATTCTTGAAAACAGCAATACAGAGTGTGATTATCCTACACTATAGGATGCAGATTTTAATTTTCCCGCAACGATTTCAAGCAAAGAGATGCTGATTAAAAAGAGCCGTTACCTACATAAATTTTCTGAGTCCCTTATTCAGCTTAGTTTTGAGACCAAAAGCATGCTAAGATCTTTCTACATTAGTCTAGCTCAAAATCTCCACAAATCTTCTTCTAATGCAATATATTAAATCTTACAATGTCCCTACTGTGTTGATACCTGCAGAATTTTCTTTCAACTATATGGTACATTCTTCCAGGTGCATAAAGTCTCCTCGGGTCTTTGAGCTTCCTACTCTCGGGTATAAAAGTGTCCCTCAGGCAGACCGCAAACAGTAAGCATGGCAAGCTGTCCAAAGCACCAAGGCCTGGATTAAGAAATGATGATGACAACTCACTCCAAGAGGTCTTTAGGAGCACACAAATAGAAAGGAAGACGAGCCATAACATAAATTGTAATGCAACTCACCAGAAAACTGATTTGAATATATCCTCCAAGGGAGTAGGAGTTCGGGGTAAAAAATCATCCTGACAAACAACATGACAACAGGATCATTTTACCAAAAAAGAAACCTCGTTAACTACAGAAGTGCATTTCCTTTCTTCAAAAGCCTACAGAGGAAAAACACATTCAGTTGCTTAATGACATTCGTTCGATTTTAAAGGTCTCCTTCCTGTGTCAATTCCTTGAGGTAAAGTCGAATCCCACATCGTACTACTCAGGATGCGAAAGAATATCAATAGATGGTCTATAGGAAATTTTTGAGAATTCAGATCAACATCTTACTTGTATCTAAAAAGAATGAACTGTTTACCCACTGCCTATGTAGTCGGGATCGAGATGACCAGAGCCACCACACAACAAACAAACATATCACTCTATTAGCTCCTGAGTTTTCTCAAGGGATTCATCGCAGCATTCTAGTTTAGGCTGAAAATTACCACTGAGTTGCCAGAAAAACTGCCTAGGCGTAACTTAGAAACAATAACATCTATTCACGAAGACATAAACATGAGCTTTAAACTTACAAAGCCTAATATGACTACCATTTTTCATGATACCCAAAGTTAGAGTTGGACCACCTATTCTCAAATAAAAGAGTGAACAACAACAGCAGAACTCCAGAATGTATTGGCTAAAGACATAACAGCAACAACCACCTAAAGTCAACAGCCGAATTGAGTCAGAGATACACACTAAGTGAAGTTTCCAACAGTTCAAGAAACATTTAACTTATTGCACAGTCAACCAAAAACCAAAGCATTCGATATTTGAACCAGCCAATTACCTGCAAGATTATAGAGTGAATCACGTCAGCATACTTCACCGCCAAATTAAGCGACATACACCTCGCCGGAGCCACCGCGTAACACCGCACTTTACTCCGCGGAACTCCACCCAGCTTATCCCCATGGTTTGCCGCGATCACCGCCAAGAGCGAAGCCACACCGGACCCAAGCGAGTGGCCCACAAAAACAATGTTGTAATTCGACCCGTTCTCGACCCACAGCCTCTTCAACGTCTCCGATTCCTCATCCAACACCCAAATCGCCGACTTCAACAGCCCGTGGTGGACGTAACCGCCGTCAAACATCTGCATGCCGAGTCGATTGTCCAGCAGGAGCTTGTAGTCGCTCTCCTTGGCAAGGTTGAGGCCACGGATCGCGAGGACAATCTCGCGGTGGTCATGGTCGACGTAGATGATGTAGGGCGGGGCTTGGCCGAGGGTCTGCTGGTAGGTGACGCGCTTGACGACCCAGTCGGGGTTAAGGCGGTAGCCGCCGGCCGGGGGGAACTTAGGCTGGCGGAGATCGGGCTCGTACACGGCGAGGATGAGGCGGCAGACGCGGGGGACGGGCTCGAACTCGTCCGGGGTGGCGGGGGGCCACGTGGCGCTGTCATCGGAGCCGACGTAGGTGCAGCGCTTCCAGAACCAGCGGGAGAAGCCCAGGATCACCACGCACTCCACGCCGCAGGAGACCGACATGGCAGGTCAAGAAGATTCCTAGTTTCTTGATTTCTTTCAAATGCTGGTGCCGATTTCTGCGGGTTTCGACATCTGGGTAACGAGGGATGCAGATGGGTGTTGTTGTGATCGTCCGGAAACTGAGAAAGGTTGCATCTTTCTCGTGTTCAGTGAGGGGAACGGTGATGGGTCGTCTTCATCGTTTCTTGAAATGAAGAGGAGGTTAGCTTTTTCTTGCTTCAGCTGACTCTGGATCTGTGCGCTCTTTGCTTTTGCTTAGCGATGGCGGTGTTGGGTTCCGTGTCTCGCTCCGTCTTTTTCTTGTGTTTTCCGGGTGATGTGTTTAAGGATTTAGTACGGATCATCGGGCGGCTCAAGGTGGGTTGCTTCATTGACTCTAATGGAATGGAACAGGGTGTAAAAGAGGACAAACGAGATGCTCCGCCGTCCATGTTCGAGGCGGCGGACACGTGGTTGTGTCTGTCGGGTTCTTCTTTGTCTTTCTTTTATCTTCGTGAACAAAAGTAGACCGATGCGAAAGAGTGATGACCGGAGAGCACGGCGGTGGCCGCCGCCAGCCTCCTCGGGTACTCTTGCACATTCCAACCCCCAATGTGAGCAAATGCATTTAGCAGAGAAGAATAAAATAGGATAACGACACGAACAGTCTCTGAACTTTGATCACATATGCAATATGATCTCTGAACTTTTAATTTGTTCAATGTAGTTTCTGAATTTTAGCCGAATGTTCAATGTGATCCTTGAACTTTTAATTTATTTAATGTCATTCATAAACTTTTGATACATGAACATTTTCATATAGTTCATGGACTATATTAAATATGTACCAAAAGTTCAGAAAATGCATTGAACAAATTAAAAGTTGAGGGATCACATTTCACATTAGATTAAAGTTTATGGACCACATTAAATAAATTAAAAGTTCAGGGATCAGAGACTGTTTGTGTCAAATAAAATCAAAGAATAGGAAATGGAATGAAATGATGTTTCAATATTGATAAATTGTAACAACGGAATGAAATAGAATATGAATTCCTATACTCTTGCACATACCAATTTTTTTTTTGTAATATTTGCTAGTTATCATATATCAATCTTACTTAACCATCAGTTAAGAGCTCAAACGACAAACTCTTTATGAACTTGTGATTTTCATCTAACGTCCAATTGGCATGCTTGTTGTTAATATGCTCGTGATATGTGCTTCCTTAGATTGAGCGAGCTAGAAAGTTACATTGATAGGCTTTTATATGTACCAGTGATTGACTCGTTCCTTCGACACATATTAAAAATAGTCACACATATAATAATTTCTTTCAATTTTTTTTAATACCAAAAGACATATCTTGAACAATCTTTTAATAAGCATCTAGAAAGGAGAAAATGATAGATATGTAACAAACTCATATATTCATTGTTTCTGTGAAAACAATGTTTTTGTATTGCACCAACTCGTCATTAAGATGTACTTCTTCTCTCTATTGGCAATGGGTTGTATACACTTAGCATATTCTTTTCTTTGATCTTTTCAAAGAAACTTTTTTCTAATGTACGAGTCATTATTAAAAAGGTTCAAGACATCACTCATTTATGTTAACAATTTACGCGTTGAAGGCGACTAGCTAATAACCTACATTTTATGATAATAAAATTCACTGCTTTTTTTGCTTAATAAGACTAGAAATACATACATACGGCTCAAAATACTGGCTTACATAGGATTAACAGAAACGATTTCGGTACTAAAAAATCATTCTCTTCAAAAAGAACAAGAAAGAAAAGAAAAGAAATTCAAAAAAAATTAAAATATTATTAAAAATTATCCACGCTGTCGAGTTTCGCGCCACATGTGACGGCACTTTACGCCCATTGTCAAGAATTTCCTATCAAAATTAAATGGATCGACCCTGCAGACAAATGCAAAATGCTTATGACTAAATTGGCCAAAAAAAATGTTTATGATCGAATTGACACAATTACAATAGATATATTACTTTTTGATAATTTTCCATAAAGCTTTTAGCTCTCAGTTTGACCAATACATGTCACACCGATCCCTCCGTCCGCCTCGATCTTTCTCAGGTTAGACACATTCGAAGCAAACTCACGAAAACTTCATCTTTGAGTCTCGTCGCGAATATGTGGAGACATTAATCACTCTCTCGCGATGCGTGTTACGCGTCATGTAGTTTTCGTTTCACATATTCATAACCAGAGCGCGAGACCGTAAAGAATCAGAATCTGAACAAATCTTAGTGCCGAAGGAAAACATGTGGCCGCAAACTAAGCAACGCCATCTCATGCCATTACAGGAGAATCGGTATGATCTGGTCAAGAGGGAAAGATTCAGTATTTAAGCACCTGTACGAAATCACTCGGTCAACACTCAACCGTGATTCTTTGTCTCCGCAACACTTTTCAGTTTGTTGCGTATTGCGTATGGTTAAACTATGCAGCAGATGAACTAATTGAATAATTATTTGACGACAAACACTTCTCCGTCAATCCTACGGTAGAATATAGAATGCATGGTGGGGGTTGGAGTGGAGTCTCGGCTTCCCGCGGCGTAGAGCTCGCATTCGCCTTACAGGGGTAATCGAAGGCGAAAGTCGCGGGATTATCTTGGGAAAAGTGCCAAAAAAGTCCTAAACCTTTTGCATTAGTGTCAATTTAGTCCTAAACCTTTTTTTGGTCTGCCAATTCGGTCCTAAACGCTTTTGCATTGGTGCCATTTAGTCCTAAACCTTTTTTGGTGCCAATTAAGTCACCAAAGCCTTTTAAATTGGTGCCAATTCAGTCCTAAACCTTTTGTTTTTGTCTTAGCGATTTAGTCATTCCGAAATGCCAATTTAGGCCAGGATTTGCCTACGTGGACGCTTTGCCGGCCGGCCAGGTCACCGGCCAGCGCGGCGTGAAGCGCCGTGGAGCAAACTTTAATATTTTTAATATTTTTTTGAATTTTTATTTTTTTTCCTTTTTTTTTCTTTTTTTTCCACTTTTTTTTTGGTTGTCTTCCTCCTTACTCTGGCCGGTCGCCGGTCCGGCGACCGGCCAGAGGCCAGAGGCCGGCGAGGGCGAGCCTCGCCTTGGTCGGGCGAGGCTCGAGCCCTCGCCGGAGGCCGCGGCGAGGGCGAGCCTCGCCATGGTCGGGCGAGGCCCGACCTCGCCGGATCTGGCGAACGCTCGACCTCGCCAGATCCGGCGAGGTCGGGCCTCGCCCGACCATAGCGAGGCTCGCCCTCGCCGCGGCCTCCGGCGAGGGCTCGAGCCTTGCCTTGGTCGGGCGAGGGTCGCCCTCGCCGCGGCCTCCGGCGAGGGCTCGAGCCTCGCCATGGTCGGGCGAGGCCCGACCTCGCCGGATCTGGCGAGGTCGGGCCTCGCCGGCGGCTGGGCAAGGCTCGACCTTGCCAGATCCGGCGAGGTCGAGCCTCGCCCGACCATGGCGAGGCTCGGCCTCGCCGGGCGAGGCCGCCCTCCCCAGTGGCCGGCGAGGTCGAGCTCGCCGGCCACTGGCCTCTGGCCGGTCGCCGGACCGGCGACCGGCCAGATGAAGAAGAAACCAAAAAAAAAAAGTGGAAAAAAAAGAAAAAAAAGGAAAAAAATAAAAATTCAAAAAAATATTAAAATATTATTTAATTTGTCCACGTCAGCGCCACGTCGGCGCCGGTGACCGGCCGCCGGCCGACAGGCGTCCACGTCAGCAAATTCCGGTCAAAATTGACCGGAAGGACTAAATTGGCACAAAAAAAAGGTTTAGGACCGAATTGGCACCAATTTAAAAGGTTTAGGACTTAATTGCAAAAAAGGTTTAGACTAAATTGCACCAATGCAAAAGGTTTAGGACTGAATTGGCACCAAAAAAGGTTTAGGGTAAATTGTAATGCAAAAGGTTTAGGACTTTTTGGCACTTTTCCGATTATCTTCATAGTCGAGAGGAAAAACCACTCCGAATTCTCGACTGTACCGTGCTAGAGCAACCTTCTGTTCTTGTTATTTTGATCAATGAGTTCAGCATTTCTTGAATTCGTTTTTCCAGAATTCAGTTGCTCGATTTTGCCGGGTTTCTGCGAAAATGGTGTCCCCAGTGCAGTTTCCAAACACTTTCTCCATGTACTTGAGATTGATTAAAATCCATGAAAGTTTTCTTGATTATAGGTGCAACCATTATTAATTTCTTTGAGTAGGAACCGATCAAGAAACAGTGAAAAGCACCAAAGCAATCAGCTCAGATCACTAGAACAACTTCCACGCGCACCAATCTTGTTGTAGCAATAAACCCTTTAAACTTGGCCACCGGATTTCTTCATTGTGCAAAACAAAGTCACTCACTGCCTTTACCACGCCAAGACTATGGCAAAGATCTTCACAGGTCTACCAATTCTGACTCCAGGAGTCAGAGTAGGCCAACTGCTGTTTGAGACCATCGCTAACCACCATTAAGCAGTGGAAGAATCAGAAATCTTTTGCCCAATTCACGATCAAGAGGCCCTCTAATGAGCCTCTCACAATTAGGATTTTGGCTCCGGTAATTGCTAGAATCATTCAATGGTGTCGGAAAAGTTTCACCTAATAAGTACTAAGCAGCAAACTTGGAGAACAGGGCATGACTTCCTTCTATTCCTTTTTTGTATCAGCTACTATAAAATCGGTCTTACTCCCTTGGACCACTCCTATATCCCAGACAAAACTCGAAAATGTCGAGAATGAAGCTCGCTTTCATTGCTTATTTCGCCGTCGCGGCTGTTATGGCGATGGGTGCTTCGGCCTTGCCCGTCACTTTCATCTTCGGCGACTCCTTAACGGAAGTCGGGAACAACAATCACTTGCAGTACTCTCTGGCAAGGTCTAACTATCCATGGTACGGCATAGACTATGAAGGTGGACAGGCAACCGGGAGGTTCACAAATGGGAGGACCATTGGTGACATTTTATGTAATTTCACGGATCTCGTGTCTTGTTCTCGGCTTTAATAAATTTTTTGCATTTTGATTTAGAGAAAACTGCTTCATGCATACACTATCAGTATCAGCAATATCCCAGAATTTAACCTTTGTTATAATTCACACCGACAGCTGCAAAGCTTGGAATTTCTTCACCGCCGCCGTATTTGTCAATGTCACCAAACGATGACGCGCTCCTTCAAGGGGTCAGTTATGCATCCGGTGGAGCAGGAATTCTCAACGAGACAGGGCTCTATTTTGTAATGAACATCTTCTAACAATAGATACTTTGTTTCTACTTGAGGTCACTTGTGTTCTTCACTGAGTATCAGTTCTTCTAACTCTTTTTTGCCACGGCGGCTTTCTGTTTTGTAGATCCAGAGGCTATCGTTCGATGATCAAATCAACTGCTTCAACAAGACCAAAGAAGTGTTCAACGCTAAAATTGGAGAGGAAGCTGCAAACAAGCTCTGCAATAAAGCCCTCTTTTTTATTGGCCTTGGTATGTAACTCACTACTCAGCACCTCTGCGAAATAAGCAAATCATACATGCTTAGGTTTGCATTAGAGTTCCTAATGCTTCGTAGGACAAATAAGAAGAAGGCGTGTAGAGCCACAACATGGTCTGAATCGATTTAGATGATTGCTACTCGACATGAACAAGAGCAAACTCCAATCTTTTGGATGCAGAGCCATGATCTTAGAGATTGATACAAGAGTAGCAACAGAAGAAAAGGACATTTTCTTTGTCAAATGATGTATCGTGCCTCGAATATTTTTTAGATTATGGACACTAATCTTGTTTGCGATTTTCTTTTTCAGGCAGCAATGACTATGTGAACAATTTTTTGCAGCCGTTCTTAGCTGATGGTCAGCAATATACGCATGACGAGTTTCTGGAACTCTTGATCTCCACCTTGGATCAGCAACTCACGGTAAATTAGATTGGTTCGACATCCTGCCATCGCTTGTCGAAGAGCGAACTTAATGTAGTAAAAGATAGAGTGAACACAAAGTAGAATTAGCACTAGCTGTGGCTTGTAACTTCATTTGCTAAGAAGATGCATGCCCTTTATACTTACTATACTCACCTCACAAAGAATTTCCATTTGCCAGAGGCTGCACACACTCGGCGCACAGAAGATTATCTTCCACGGTCTCGGTCCTCTTGGCTGTATCCCTTCTCAGAGAGTGAAATCGAAGCAACGCGAGTGCCTGCATAGAGTCAATGACTGGGTTCTCGTGTTCAATGCCAGAGTGCAGAAGCTACTCACCTCTCTGAATCAACGGCTCCCAAACGCGAGATTCACATTCGCCGACACATATCAGGCGGTCCTAGACTTGATCAACAACCCCACCAATTATGGTAACTAAACCTCTCTTTTTCAACACACAATAAGAAGAGCTTTCTCGAGAAAGGAAAATGACATCCTAGGTCTTTCAATCATGTTCATGCAGGATTTAAGGTCTCCAACACTTCATGTTGCAATGTGGACACATCTGTAGGAGGCCTGTGCATGCCAAACTCCAAGTTATGCAAAAACCGCCATGAGTATGTCTTTTGGGATGCTTTCCATCCCTCGGACGCGGCCAATGCCGTTCTGGCTGATAAGCTTTTCTCCAGCTTATTTTCCAGTTCCCCTTCCATCGCACCGACGCCCACTAGCTGATGAGGCAACTGTTGAGTTGGTCTGCTTAAAGTTTGCGTACCCCTATAAGGCTAGCGGGTTCCTACATTATATGAGTATTAGTAAAGTATATGTACCATAAACTCGAAGGTTGAACCGAAAACAACTAATAGCCGTAGGTTTAATGCTCGCGGAATAATGAACTTCAAAATAATACTCTGTTCACAGGTAAGAGGTGACCTGAAGCTGAGTGTTGCTCCTATGCTTGTAATGCAAACATACGCACCCATTGTTTGATAATACAAGATGAGTATTTTGTAGATGTTCCTGCTTCTGCAGATTCTTGAAAGTGATTTGTGCAGCTTACTCAAATATCGCCATTATCCCTTCAGAAAAAAGTAAACTGCCAAGAAATAACTTTTAGAGTAGGATTTTACCCATGTTCACGACAAGAGCACTCAGCAAGCTTCTATAAGCAATACATTTCAAACGTTAGAATCGGCAGGTAATATCCTCTTTCGTATTTCTCGTTCAGAAAGAAGTGAATAACATCCATCATCTAACGTTTTTGTGGATGAACTACCAAAGGAACCTCTGAAACCAAACTATACCGCAGATCAAATATGAACTGCACAGACTGGAACTTGAGGTTCATAATGCAAATGTGAATTGGATAAACTGGAACTCCAAGGTTCATGGTTGGCTCCTAAAGAAGTAAATAACATCCATCATCTAACTAACTGAATTGACTTGCATATAATTTTCAGGAAAACATTCATCAAGACCTCAATGTACATAAATATGAGGTAGATTTAATAAACGTCAGAATCCACATTTGACTCTCATACAATACTGTCTTTCAAGGGCTAATATATGTTTCATAAATAAACTTTGAGATCGAGATGGACAATAAAGATGAGCTCCACAGCTCGGCCTATTCTACCAAATCAGTTCAAGTAGAAGTTTGGCAGTATAAGATTAAAACTCCATGCCGCATTCAGACACCACAACTGTCTTCAATTCGCATCTCAGCCGATCCATAACATCTTTAACTGATGTCTCTCTCTTCTACTGCGGCTTATAAGTTACTGTGAGGCTCATAAACATAAGTAACTTTTCAGCCGAAAGGACAGGCTGCGCAAATACACGCTTGAGAATCCCAGAAACAAGTATATAAGTTCCTGTGAGGCTCATGAATATGTTCTAGAGACTTGAGAATAATGCAGGTCGATAAGAAAACATATGTTGGCACAAGACTTACAGTGAAAATGGTGTCAGATAGTAGCTCAAAGAACTGTATCACCGAATAGAAAGTTTGTGTGCATAAACCTCTTTTGAAGTAGAAAATGGAAAGCAATCTAATACAGATATATTTACTTGCTCTCAGTCAATGGCCAAATTTTTCCACGTAAGTAACATAATTGGGAGCAGGACCTCTAGCATTTGAACCAAAAGAAGAGGCGATTCCCACTTCTAATGCTTGCCAATGTACTCTTCTCATCTCTAAGAGTGAAAATTCCTCCCCATTAGAGAAAAGAGTCCTCATGCACCACCAAGCACTACAAGTGAAAGAATGGAAAAGCTCTATTCCTCGAGTAAAATGAAGGGTCCAAACTTGCCCAGTTACCTTCGGTGTGGTTAAAGCAAAATGATCATCATCGAGCAACCATATGAAGTTTTTTTCGGGAAAGAAAGACAAAAACAGTCAATTACCGACTATACAATCTAATGTATAATAACTCAAACAAGGCAGCATTGGACTTCTGTAAGGTCACGTCTTGCAAGGAGGTAGCTGGATGTGTTTCCACAACATTACAGCTCAAGGGTCGTGAATCAAGCTTTCAGAGTTCATCAACAGAAAGTGAAACTTGTCTACTTCAATACACACCAGTGGTCATAGTTTCACCACACCAAGTGCTTTCTGATATCTCCCACTCCCGATGTCAAAAACCCTATCGAGTATTTGAATTAATACCCTTTCAAGCTCTCAGATCAAAGGCCAACGTTTTCCACAAAAGCGACAGTTTCGGGAGCGGACCCTCGCGACATTTAAGCCAAAAGAATAGGCAAGATCCCACTTCCTGCGCAGGCCAGTACATTCATCTAATCTCTGAAAGCGAGACAAGATTCCTCATGCACAAACCGAACCCAACAAGTTAGAAAGTGCTATTCTCGAGTGAAATGTTGCCGGGTCCAACCTCTCCTCAGTCGCTCTTCAGTGTGGTTAAAGCAAAAAGAATCATCACCGAGCATCGATACCAGGCCCTTCATACCACAAGACGCAATAAGACAATGCAACGACGACCCAAATCTACATTCCCCCCCTTCCATTGAAAAAGACATTTTTTTTACAACAATCATCGCTGAGAATCGATGACAGACGCTCGCCCCCTCAATTGATCCGAAAGGAGCTGGGACTCGAACCCGTCGCGATTCCATCGGATCCGACGATGATGGGGGGGGGGGGGGTGGGGGTCGATGCAATGTGGAGCCTACGAGAAAATGCGACTGCCACGTACGAAACGAACGAAGGGAGCCGCATGTCCAGAGGCGCCCGTGAGAGAGTTTCGCTGTCGCATCGTTTCGTATTCCGTGCGCTATTTCAGGAAGAAGCGCAAGGAATCATAGTGGATGCTTCTTGGTTACTTTCGCGTAATAGAGAGAGAGAGAGAGATCCGTAGACGAAGCTTACAGTCCGATTCAACAGAGAAATGGAGACGATGAAGAAGAAGAGGAAGGCGTGAGGAAGATGGAGAGTGCGGCACGGAAGCCGATGAACGGCGATTCCATGGATGAGCTGTGATTAGGGTTTTCGTGTGTGCGCCTTCACCATTTATAACGCCAATTTTTAACCCCCAAAACTTCTCCGGAGGTATTTTGGCATCTATAAAAAAAAAAATAGTACAAAGATAAATACTAGATGTATTAAAATTATTTAGGATTGTACTAGAATTCCTAAAACTTGTCATGAAAATACAATTATTAAAAAAAATATGATTGAATCCTAAAACTTATCAAATCGATGCAATCGAGTCCTTCTGTCAATTCCGTCCAACATTGTTAATGGACAATACTGAGGCAGTTTTTGTTTAATATTTTCTTTCACCTACGTGGCGAAAACATAATCAAAATGACGTCGTTTTGGCCCAAATCTATTTTTTTAATACAAATTTTATTTAAATTAAATTGAAAAATTTTTATTAAAAAAAACAAAGAGAAAAGGATTGAGAATTGGCCGCGAGGGCTTGCACAGCCCTCCTCGCCGCCACCCCACCATCGCCGACCTTACCAGCAAGGGTGGGGGATGGCTAGCAGGGGTCACCGGGCCCTGGCCAGTGGCCGGCGACCCTCACTGACCATAGGCAAGGGCATGCATGAATCTTAATGTTATTTTTTAATTTTAATTGGAATAAAGTTTATATTAAAAATCATATTTGGACCAAAACGAGGTTGTTAATCTTATGTTTCATATTTTAGAACTGTGTCGTCCATCCAAATACACAAATCTTTAGACCTTTTATTGAACTACAATGTTTTTACCCAGGTAAAGTACGACGTGTGCTTCATATATGTATAATTTGGTTTGCTACAACAAAAAGAGTACTTTTTTCGTAAATTGAGTAGATGTATTTTTTTTTTTCGAAAATTATATACGTGTGCGTCTATTTTACGTGGTGAAACTACTAGTTTGGCCGACTTAGTTCATAATTGTCCCCTATTTATCTCCTCGGCTGATGCACGACTCGTTCATAACTCGACGATTGAGGATTAGTTTCTCTATTATTCAATCGGTTAAGAATTAGATGAGACACTAGCACGAGTACCGCTGTAGAGGGTTCCTGCATCGTGTTAGTATCGCACCAAAATGCAACTCTAGGCAAGAACATGTTCATTCAACCGTATGCTCTCACACTCGCACTATTTTTCTTTGTAACCTTCTGATGCGAAATTGCACTTTACAATTTAAGGTGGGGTGGTGGTGGTATAGTGGTACAAGTATGGCCGCAAAGGCGGGGCCGCCAAATCGAAATAACCGACGGGGATAGAGAGTACGACTCTTCTGCTAGCAGAGCTGCAACTATGGGCTTGCAATTGCAATGATTATGACTCGAATCGAACATTTTGTCGCGATTACGACTCTCTGCTCATTTTGTTGGCCCGTTCCTATCATTCACCGTGTGTTATAGCACCCCATGTCAGATTAGTGACAAAGTCGCCTGTAGCTAAGAATGTTCAAGACAGAACAGAAGAGTACTCATGTTTACCAGCAAAACCAACACTTCAATCTTAAATTTACCAAAATTTCCGGCTGATTCATATACTGACAGGGCTTCCAATATGGAAAGATCTCCAACTGAAACTCGTTAATTTTCTGGGTTACAAATTGAATATTTTTTTGTCCCGCGTGTACGATCAAAGAGCTAATCGCGAGAAGCAAAATGACACGATTCGTTCGGACTCCAAAATGGAAAACTAGAATGAGAGATGAAATGAAAGTGATTCAAGTTGATAACAAGAGAACTATCTAATCTACCTGAAAAGAATACCATTTTTCAGTTTTGAGTGAGGCTTCTCTGCTTGATTTGCACAAAATTTGACCGGATCACTTTCCCTAAAACCATCCGGTCTAATAACAAAATAATCTTCAGAAACAGACTGCGAATCTTCAACTAGATATGTACCATTTTACAAGAAGAGGGCACTCCAGACCAAAACTTTCATCCACAATAAGAAGGACATGCTGGTGTAATAATTTCCAGCAGGCGATCCTGAGGCTGTTGAATTCATAGATGGGGCCGTCACATTCACTGATGTCGCATTTCTACCAAGACTGCAAGTAGAGGACAATACGAGTAAGCATAGTCAGTTTATCATCTAAAACTGCCTCTAATTTGCAGAGGTGATAGATCTATAAAATGAAGCATATGTTTACCTTCCTGAAAATATGCAAGAACCATGACCTACACGACAGGGAAACCAAAGAGATCGTAAGAAATGTCAGAATTTGATCCTCTGCAAATTCAAATGATGAATGAATCTTTTCGCACAGACATTTGGACTGAGGTCTTACTTGGATCTGTGGTGGTGATTGCAGCCACCCCGTTGAAATCACAAGTTCCGGCAGCCTTTCGCATTTGATGATAGTACGTATCAAATGCGTAGGTGGCATGCGCAGATAATGTGTCCGGTTCATAGCATGATTCACCCTGCAACAAGGGTGAGCAATCTACCTTGCCGACGCCACAGGCCCAATCCAAACCAGCCTGCAGCATCTTCGGGTCAGCACCTTCCTTCGCAGTACAATACGTTTGGTTTGTCG